TTTTCAGGGGTGCTTGGGTCAAGGGTTTTTGGTTGAAGCTCATCTTTTATTAGTAGCTGGGATAATTTTTAAAGTGTATGGATACTTCTGTTCTTGAGTAAATGGTTAGTGATTGATAGCTTTCTAAATAAAATCCAAAACCTCACATTTCCCTTACCCAGTATACAGGGAATAAAATATATTCTAATTACTTAACACATATTGAGTAATATCAGGAAATACAAAATGAAGGCCATTACTTTGGCTCTTCCTTTGGAAAGGTATACTTTCTCTCTGGGCTTATCTTCATTGTTAAAAAAATAGTTATCCTGAAGGCAGTTGGAAGAGCAGGACAATTCAAGCAGAACTTGTGAAGATCAGCTCTAGATCCATTTCCTGATTTAGAGTCATTATTAAACAAGCAGCCCCATCATATTCAGTGGACTTCACATAAACTTTCCTTTCCCCTTGTTCTTCCATGGTTGAAGCTGCGGCATATCAGTGGTAGCAGGTGGTATGACTCATGCTTACACTTTTTCTGCCAACAGAGGTCTTGGTTTCCCCAGCTATCAGTCTCTCTCCAGTCCTGAATTCTTTGTATAAGGTGGGGAGATAGTGTTACAGTGATACTGTAGCTGTGGCAGTTCAGGGATTTTGCAAGAGGCAGGGATTTCTTAGGGTGATATCTTTTACTGGACCAACCATACACCTGGAACAGAGTTTAGCCCAAGCCCACGTGCATGTGGGCTGGACCGGATGATCTGTAAGGTCCCTTCTAGCCCCTAACAAGTATGAAACTAAATCCCTGCCTGTGTACGAAGCAGAGAAGCAGAAGAGGTAGAGAGGATTGGCTGGAAAAAAAAAAAGAGGCGACAAAGTCTACCTTGTTTTGTGCAGGAATGAATGGTTTGGACAGGTATGATTCTGACTCGGGGAGGGGGTTGGACTAGATTACCATTTCTCAACCCATTGGTCGCGACCCAGAAGTGGGTCACAAGAATGTATGAAAGGGTCACGAACAAACTTTAAAAATGGATCAACAAACTTTAAAAAATGGATTCTCCTTTAAAAGAGAAAAACAGTGGCTTTTCCCTTTCAGGCTGGGAGAGCTCTAGCCTGCCAGGGGCTGCTTGGGGCCCCTCCTGCCCCAAACAGTGTGGGGCTGGGCCCTGGGCCCGGGGGGGCAGTGGGTTGGGAGTGAGGGGTACCGGGTTGGGACTGGTACAAAATGGGTCCTGGTACAAAAAAGGCTGAGAACCACTGCACTAGATGACCTCAGGAAGTCACTTCCAGCCTCTATGACGTCTGTGTGCCACTATGACTCTTCTTGTGCTGAACTTCTTGGCTTCAGTAGGTTTGTGCGACTTCTGTGTGCCCCTTGGCAGCCTGGCAGATGCAGAAACACACGGGTTCAGCGGCTGGCACAAAAAGACGCACCTGCGAGGGAAGCTTCCAGCGTCTTGACTTAACTGCGCGTGAGGGAGGGAGGCTGGGCGGAGAGGCGCGGGGGAGTGGCTCTGGCGCCGGGCGGAGAAGGGGCCGGCCCTGGATGCTGTGCAGCTGGTACAGGTCAGGCTCCCTCCCGTCTCATCCTTTCACATGGCCGGGTAGGAGGCGGCTGCCAGCAGAATCCAGCAAGAGCCAGTCCCTCCCTCGCTTGCGCGACGCTCTCCCAGGAGGCTCCAAGCAGCCGCAGCAGCTGGGTGCGGGCCTCACTCATGCCAGCCACCTTCTGCACCAGCCCGGAGAGGAAGAGGTAAGGACTTGCAGCGGGACCCGGGCATCTGCTGCCGGATCCCACCCCCCACCAGGGATGCGGCTGCAGGAGGGGGCTGAGGGGGGAGGGAGGAGAAAGAGGCAGAGGAGGGGGATCCGAACTCTTCCTGCACAATGTAGAGCCCCAGTGATCCCCTCCCCTCCCACCCACCTTGAGTCCCAGGCACAGACGAGAGGGGAAGAGGAGAAGCTGCAAGGGGATCGAGAGGAGCCTGGAGCAGAGGGGAGACTTTGAGGGAGCAGCCTTTGGGCTTGGGCTGGGGAGGGGGGGAAGAGATGTATCCGGGTGAGAGAGCGGCAGGCAGGGGGACCTTGCAGAGCTGAGGATGTTTTGTGACACCCAGCCTGGGTGCGGACACTTCCAGCTACTGCTTCTCTTCCAGGGATG